CCAGCTTCTATTAGTAAGTCAGAAAATTCTCGGGTAAATAAGCCATGTTTTTTCTTACCAAATCTAAGTCCATTTTTAAGTCATTAATGAGCATATAATTTGTCCTTTCCTCTTTCTCTTCCCACTTGCTTTAGTGCTGGTAATTCATACCTTTCCAGTGCATTACTGGGTTTTCCCTGTAGCTTTGACCTTTGCCTGGCACGTGGGATGCCAGAGAAGGGGCAGCACCTGCAACTGATGCTGCCTTGGCAGTACAAAGAGATGCCCCACGAGAAGGCACTTTCTCTGGGCAGCAACACTAAATGTCCAAGCCCACTCCTTCCTCCCCAGCCCCATGCACGACCCTGAGCATCTCTCACAAGGCTCCAGTGTGCAGGTGCCACTCCCCATCCAGCCTTATGACACGGCACAAGGCTTCCTGCTTGTGGAGCTTAGGGCAGAGTCACTCAATGCTAACCTGCCCTTCATCGAACTGGACTTCATCCAGTTCTGCCTGTTAGAAAATGGTCAGCCTCCTGCTCACAGTGCCTCCTGGTTTTGCCCAGGAAGCATGTGGGTCTTTCCCAGTATCTCTTACCAGGCAGACAGAACGTCTCACAAAAGCAGGCTCTGGGTTCCATTGCCCTGCAATCGTTATGAAGTTCAAAACATCCAAGGGTAAAGGAATTTTGGCACTTGGGTCAGCGGGTTGATTCCGATGGGTAGGAACCCACAGGGTGCAGGCAACCCCTGCCAGCACAGCCCTCACCTGGCGAGGGGATGGGATCCATGGGGATGGTTACACCATCTCACTGTGACACGAAGGGCTGGGCTAGGCTGTGCCTGGTGCTTTGCTGAGGCAGCACTGGGTACAGACTGACGCGCAGGAGGGCAGATGTGCATGTGTGACAGTAACCTCCAATGAAGCATCAAGTGAAGGGAGGCATGCAGTTGTACGCAGGGCAGTTTGGACCAAAATGCAACTAGGAACAAAGGAAATCAGTCACAGAAGTTAGGGGGTGGGGGGGAAGAGTAATTTTTAAAATGCGACATGCAGCTTCAATTTAGTGACGAGAAGATCGCATCTAGTGTGACTTTATGAGCTGCCATTAGAGCCCAGCAGCAATGCTGTTGGGTGAGGGATGGCTTCATAGCAGGGTAACTGCCCCATGGCCAAGGTGGGCACAGCAGGACCCCAGTGCACCGGCCCAGGCACCCATCTTCAGACACTAGACCTGGCAAAACCTAAGAGGACAGAGAAAATGAGTCATTAACTTTGATGGCATTTTGAGGGTGCCCATGTCTGCTGCTGGTTTTTCTTATATAAGAGCCAGGGCTCAGAACAGGAGAGTGTTTAAGTGGAAAGCAAGAATAATTACAAATTCCCTGCAATAAAGGGGAGTAAAAAGTTAACAAAGACATCTAATGAGAGATCCCAGAATCACAGAATCATAGAATGGTTTGGGTTGGAAGGGACCTTAAAGACCATCTAGTTCCAACCTCCCTGCCATGGGCAGGGACACCTTCCACTAGACCAGGTTGCTCAAAGCCTCATCCAGCCTGGCCTTGAACACTTCCAGGGATGGGGCATCCACAGCTTCTCTGGGAAACCTGTGACAGACTTCTAGTAAGTGCTTGTGAAGCAGGCAAGCCTGCAGTCAGCATTTGTACGACTGAGAGTACAAGAGAGTACAGAAGTCCTGGATACCTATTCGTTCGACAGAAAAAATCCTCTGTGGCTGGCACTGCACTCAGAATGGTTAAACGAAAGTTCATGCTCCACCATGTAAAAAGGACAGAAAACCAGAGGAAGGGAGTGCCGGTTTATTCTAGCTGGAACTAGCCTGCTTGTAGGTAAGTTTAATAGAACTGGTAGAATTGAAATGAAGATCAAGGAGAAAGCCAAATGCCAAATTCCTACAGTAGCCAGCAGACAGTGGAAAAGAAATACAGCTTAACATTTCAGGAGGTGAATTAAGAAAAGAGCCCACATCTGATAATCTGTGAAGGGCTGAAGTATATTAATTATATCATTGGAAACAGGCAGTCAGAAGTTAAAAAAAAATGTTGATGCAAATGCAAAATTGCTGAAAAGATAAATAAGAGCATTCAACTTGGGTGAAGATAAGCCGGGAATGTCATAGAAAGCACGATGATTCAATGTACTACTTTGATGCTCGGCTGCAACTGCACAAAGGCAGTCTCTATCCAATTTCCAGGAATAATATAGCACCGTCCAGACTTCATAATTTTAGTGAAATAAAACTGTGTGCAAAGGCTGTACAGCTTTATGGTTGCAAATACTGGAAACAACACGTACATGCAGCACCTAATTCAGCGCTGTGGGGCAACTTCCAACATGGTGTTTTTCCTTCCTTGTAAGGATTAGCCTGAGTAATTCAGTGTCAGCAGATCACTGAAGCAAAGGACCTGTATTTGCTGTATTTCCCTGTAATCAATACAGGGAAATAGCTGTATTTCCCTGTAATCAGCAACAGCCAGCCATAATACTAAGTATTTCAGAAGGAGTACAAAAGTTGTCTGCCCAAAATATTTTATTGGCATCAATTTGCAACAGTCCTCTACAAAACACAGCATTGATTCTGATCTACCTTCAAACTGCTTTGTGCTTTCAGCTTCTTCCTTGCTGCAAGACTGGTCCTGAGAAAGGCTACATATGAAATCACCTTGTTTTCAGGCAAACTCCGGCTTATTTTTAAGTTAGTCATGCTGTCCACCGCAGAAACCACAAACCTGGATGGGATGGACACACTGAGACCTGATGAAAACACCAGGTTAATAAACTGTCATGTTATTTAACATCTGCTGTTAGACACCTTTGCTTGACAGCTGTAATGCCCTGCTTGGTAAGAGAGTAAGGGTTACTTTAAGCAGCAATTAGGTAATAGGCTCAGGTGAGAAGAGCTAATTGTAGGCCTTAATAATGACCTATTTGGCACAAAAAGCTGTGTGTGAAGAAAGACAGAGGGCCTGTTATGCCCACCCTAGGCCCATTGGACCAAATCTCTCTACAGCAGCAAAATTTGTAGACTTAGTGACAGGCTCATAGAATTTTTCTCTTCGCATCCCAAGAAAGTCCGAAGAGGAAAACTGCATTTTTTTTCCCCAGGTTTATAGACACTTATGTCACAAATAATGTTGGTTTTAATACTGGAAACGAGTAGTAAAGACAAAAATGCATCAAAAATTTAAATATTAAACCCCCTTTATTTTCTGCAGGAATAGAGCTTTGCTGAGGCAACAGTCTCAAGTGTTGTAACTTTTGCCATGTCTGAGCTCACTGCCATTCAAGACCTACAGCAGACTTTTGAACTGGGTGGTAAGTCTTAAAATACAGCGTTAGTAGATTTGTAGGGACACTCATGACATTTCTGCAATTGCCAAATAATTTACCAATTTCATACAGGACTTGTAAATCACTTTGAAAGACCTCTCGCTTGATAACCAATTACAAAATGTGCAATCCAGAGAGGCGACCTAGGCAACGTTCGCAGGATTGCACCCTGTAGAGAAGCAATGTTTCTGGAGGATACAGGACAAGCCCTGGTGATTGCAGAGAACACAAAGCAGACGGGCATGCTCTTTTGTTACAAAGACAGCACTGTAATTAGAAGGAAAAAAAATGAGTGTGTTGCAGAGCCTCTGTAAATAACCCATCATATTGTGACTGACCTTTATCTTCTTTGGGAATTGTCCAAAGCATATGCTGTGCTTAGGGCCTGAAAGGAGTTAACAGGTGGAAGGACAAAACAGGCCTGTTTCAGGGGTTATGGGTATCGCTTACAGCACTGTGCTTTAGCAGACCAACTTACAGGCAGCTACTCCGTGAGTTCCCAAATTTTTCTGAAATTTGACTGGTTTGCAACCTGGTATATAGTTGGAGACCAGCTCTGTAACTAGCGTTGCTTGATCCTCTGTTCCTTATCAAGATTCCCGGAACAGTTTGGAACCTGTCTGACAGAGAACACAGGTAACAGACTGTAAAGCTATCCATTTGCTCCAGTCCCAGACTGAACTGGGGGTGGGGCCACACTTTGGATTAAAGGAAAATACATACAAGTCCCTCAAGTAATCTAGTAATTGTAATAGTAATCTAGAATAGACTGGATTAGTTCAGCTGGAAGGGAACTAGTAGACTGTACTGTGAGCTCTAGATCCAAGGGATGGCACACAGGCAGAATAAGCAGAAAGTATTTAAGCAAATTAATGTCCCTCAGAATGAACTGTCAGGGTCCTTCTACTGTAGTGGTATCCTGTGCACTACAAACAGTTAATAAGATGAGTACAGGGGAGTGGATTTCTAGTCTTGTGATACCATTTCTTGAAGAGTACAATACAGTGAAATAATGAGCCAGATTCTGCTACTTTCACAGCAATTTCCTTGTTGAAGTGTGTTTCTTCAGTGTATTATTAAGGGTACACCCATTACCCAGCTACAGGCTGCAAGAGGAGCAATGCTGAGCAGATAGCATCCACCAAACAGTTATGAGGTTTTCCTTTTACTAACCAGCAAAAATATCACTACATAAGATGGTTCTTTGCATTGGAGCAGAATCATCCCAAAAAAGAGGTGGGCCTGTTCCTTGTAACAACAGTCTTAAAAGATTTTTTGTTTCTAGAACTAAGTGAAAGGAAATGCCTTTCATTGCAGAAGTAATTTTAATAAGGTCAAAGGTCACAATAAACTATCAGAACAAATGTTAGATGAACAAAAGATTAAAGAGTAAGTGTGGCCTCATTGGACAATGTGTATTACACACTTCATTACTCATTTCAAAGAGAACTGGGACACTTTTTTAATTTTTAGCAACAGTTTTACAATTGTCCATCCTACATCCTTATTCTGTCCCCTCTACTGCTTCCCCAGATGCAGGAGTTGCATGTTTCAGAGGAGCTTGCAGCTAGAAAGGTTTAACTTACCTTTACTGACTCAATTCTTACTCTTTTGAACGAAATTTTAACAGGTTTTATTTTCTTTTAAAGCTTACTCTAGAATAGGCAATAATCTACAACCTAGCTTTGGTAGTGGTTGATGTACCATTTTACAGAATATTTGCTATTCACACAATTTGCATTAGATGTTCAAAGCACCATGACTGAAACAAAATTTGTATGAACAGTCAATGAGGCTAAAAAGGTATTTTAGAACAACCACTGAAAGCCTTTACTGTATCATAGTCACTTCAAGTGTTGTAAAGTAGTTTTCTACAATCTTCAGCTTTTCTTCGGAAAGCAGGTTTTCTTGCTTCAATTGTCCGATAAGTGCTTCCAAGGACCTGAGTCTCCCCAAAGTCTTTATCTCCTGCATTTCAAGTAGAGTGATCTTCGAGTGGAGCTTTGAAATTTTTTGCCAAAGGTGATCTCTGTCTATGTCTTGTTTGCAGTATGAATGCTCAGTTTGTAACACTTCACTTCCACTGTATGTATTCATATACGCAGATTTATCTGCTTCCGTCTCTTCTGTGTCAAGAAACTCTTGCTTAATAGGCAGGAAGGAACTGTTAACTATTTCAGGCTCTTCTGGACTCTGGGCTGGCACAATGATAGCAATGACAGATTCCTCACTTCCACTGAACTGTTCAATGGCTTGTGTGACTGTACTCAGTAAAACTGTGTTTTCACCCGTCGGCTGTACTTCAACAGAACAGCCTACAACATGAGAGCTGGGATTTTCAACTGCATAGTCAGTAATTGAACCTAAAGCATTTTTCAGTTTCAGAGATGAATTCAAGTATTCAGGGCCTGTAAATTGCAAGACTGTAGCTGTACAACCTACCGGATCCTCTATGGAAGTATGAACACTGGTAGCTTTCATGGTCTGAAGTGCTGCTGCCATTAAAACAGGATTGGATTGATGTATATGCTGCTTAGATGAATTATCAAGAATGATACAGTCTGCCTGAAAGTCCTCTCCGGTTTGAAGCTGTAGCTTCTGAATTTGTAAAGGTTCACTCAATGCAGTTGAGCAAACTACTTCTGCTTTTTCAACTACATTTTCTGCAATTATAGGATTTTTCTTTGGTGTACAAGGTTCAAGTGATAGAGATTCCTTTTGTGAGTCTACATTTGTGTCTCCCAGGCTTTCTCTCTTTGTCTCTTGCGGGGTCTTCTGAGAAGCATCTTTTTCCTGGAGAAAAACAAACAAACAAACAAACAACGCTGTAACTAAGAAATCACTTGAACATAATGGGGCAAATCTTGTTCTATAATATAGTACTGAATAACTAGTCATTTAGATGGTGTGATTCAAAAATTACACCAGAGAAAATTCATGTGTGTGTCTTCCATAACTTTGCTTCAGGTCCTAAATGTTAAAATATTATTTTAAAGCTCTAAAGGCAATAAAACTTTTTTTTTTCCCAAACTCTGAGGAACTTTGTTGATTTAAATGAGTCATCATAATTTTAAAAGCACTTGAAGAGAAGCAGCTAGACAAATCTGTTTGAAGAAGACCAGCTAGCATCTCCTATTACCACCTCAAACATTGCATTAAGTATACGTCTACACAGCACAAGACTTTGCATTCAAGAAAAAACAGTTTTAGCCAGTTATGACAAACTTTTAGACATGCAGTCCACTGCAAAAATAATTTAATAACAAGAAGCTCATGAACACAGGCTTGCAGAACAGTGAAATGTTTTCATGCCCAAATACACAGGCGGATTTTTAAACAAGCAAATTCTGACAACTAAAATTCACAATTCATAAAAATGGAGAACATTTTTTTGGATGGCTAAAAATGTTAACAGAGGGATAAAATTTTATCAGGACTTTAAACAGAAGTTGTTACTGAAAGAGGGATAATTTGAAGCTTACCCTTTTTTAGCCACCTTCTTTTCCCCTCCTCCACATGAACTGCATCATCACATGATTAGATTTAAGATCAGTATCCAAACAAGCTTTTTCATATGTCAGTCAGTGAAATAAAAATACACTAACACTGAGCATCTTATTTTTTTTCTAGTAGGCTTGATTATGAAGAGACCAAGCTACAGAACTGGTACTCATGTTAGGCCTGTGGACTAAACAACAAAACCAAAAAAATCCCAGAACAAAACAAACAGAACAAGAATCAACTTTAACTTTGCTAACTAAATATAGGACAGGCAAAACAAAAGGGTGGTGGGGTGGAGAGAAGAGGTCAGGCTGAAAAAAAACCCCAGATTATGAAGGAAAAAATAATTTTAAAGTGTATGTGAGTAAGGACAGCTCTTTCCCAGGTCTTTGTGAATATTCAGTCTATGTAGAAATTTCAGTTTTGGGGCAACTACAGAATCAGTAGCCAAGTCAATGGATACTGTTGATTTGCTGAGGTGATCACTAACAGGATATGTGTAGAAGTTTAGGAAAGGGCAGTCAGAAGAGTGAGATTAAAAAAATTAATGCCAGTGAGAGATTTGAGACCCCAGGAAAGCAAGTTCACAGTATCACGGATCTCAAGAACTGGCATCTCTTTTCTTTTAATAGCAGGAGGTGATGGATACACTGAAAGGAAACACAGGATCTTCTTTTCCCAAACTGGATAAATTTATCCAGGATTTCCCATATATATGGCCAATGCAAAAATAATTTAGAGATGCCATTGCTATGTTCTTGGCAACACCACTGCATCAAAAGTTTGCTAACTTCAAACTCTAGTGTCCACCTTTGTAGGTGTACCATGACTGGCCTATGGTCACATGCAAAATGAGAGAATGAAGAAGTAAGGAAAAGCCATCTTTTCTTTGGGGGGAAATCACAGTTTCTCAGCAACTGCACATAAGCACAGGGTAGCAAAGTCCAGTTCCAAAGGTAGCGATCCTTATTACAGTGACAGCACAGGAAAGCGAGGATATATTGAAGCAGGGTGGGAGGGTGGAAGGAAAGATATTTACTGCTGAGTTACTACTGCCATAAATTGCAGGATTTTCTGTTTTTGTGCAAGATTCATCAAGATTGCTTTTCACTTCAGAGAGTCAAAAGCAGTCTGGGCAACACTTGCAGCTATCCAAGAAGACAGTGAAATTTATAAATGAAATATAAATTATTTTGTAGAATTAATTAGCCACACATCTCAGTTTCAGCAATTTAGCCTTGATAGTAATTCCAGTCTTTCCTTTTCTGCCAACTCAAATACGACGATCCAGAGGAAGACAGTTGTCGTTGTTGAAACGGACACGACATACAAAGAAATGTGCACAAAAGCCAAAAGCTAAAAAAACCCCTTTATTGTTTACACAAGCCCTTTTTATATCTTTCTTAAGAATGTGTGTCCATACATGATTGGTTCACTCAAAGACCAACAGTTCATGATAGGATGATCTCTTCTTTGTTACATCTTCAATAAACTTCTACTTGCGGAGGCAGTTCCTTGATCTTGTTTACTCAGCTCTTCTCGGGACTTTCCTGACTCCTTAAGGGTACACGGTTATCTGCTCAAGGTCAATGTTAAGGTTGCATTCCGATCCCTCGGACCAGCCGAGATTTCCCACAGGCAGTTATGGGCCAGAAGAGAATTAGCAGAGCTTTGATGAAGGTAAAGTGCCTGTGTATCACAATATTTTTATGTAACCAATAGTACAACTCTGTGCCCACCAAAGCTGTTCTGTCACTCCCCTCCTCAGCTGGGTAGGGGAGAGAAAATATAACAAAAAGCTTGCGGCTCAAGATAAGGACAGGGAGAGATCATTCAGCAAGTACCGTCATGGGCAAAACAGACTCGACTTAGGCAAAAAATGAATGTAATTTATCATCAGTCAAAATCAGAATAAAAAGTAAACTAAAACTAAATCGCAAAACACCTTCCCCCTGCCCCTCTCTTCTTCCTGGGCTCAGATTCACTCCTGATTTCTCAACTTCTTCCCGCTGAGCAGCACAGGGGGATGGGGAATAGGGGGTTGTGGTCAGTTCATCACATGTTGTCTCTGCTGCTCAGAGGGAGAACTTCTCACATTTCTCCTCAGCTCCAGCGTGGGGTTCCTCCCATGGGAAACAGTCCATCATGAATTTCTCCAGTGTGAGTCCTTCCCACAGGCTGCAGTTCATCATGAACTGCTCCAGCGTGGGTCCCTCTCACAGGGTGCAGTCCTTCAGGAACAGCCTAATCCAGCCTGGGTCCCCTGCGGGGTCACAAGTCCTGCCAGGAACCTGCTCCAGCCTGGGCTGCCCATGGGGTCACAGCCTCCTTTGGGCATCCACCTACTCTGGCATGGGGTCCTCCCCAGGCTGCAGGTGGATCTCTGCTCCCACGTGACCCTCCATGGCTGCAGGGGCACAGCCTGCTCTCTCCCCATGGACTGCACCACAGGCTGCTGGGGAATCTCTGCTCCGGCGCCTGGAGCACCGCCTGCCCCTCCTTCCCCACTGACCTGGGTGTCTGCAGAGTTCTCTCTCACATCTTGCTCACACTCTGTCTGTCTGCAAAACCTAGTCTTCTGGGTTTTTTTCCTCCCTTCTTAAACATGTTATCACAAAGGCACTATGACTGCAATTGGCTTGGCCTTGGCCAGTCATGGGTCCATCTTGGAGCCAGCTGGCATTGGCTCAGCTGCAGGGGAGGCTTCTGGCAGCTTTACACAGAAGCCACCCCTGTAGCCTCCCAGCTACCAAAATCTTGCCATGCAAACCCAGTAAAATGGACAGAATTTTTTTTTTTTCAAATAAAACATGAATATATTACAGATAATTAGAACATCTGCATTACATAAATAGCTGGTTAGCTTTGTACTAAAATAAAATAAAATAAAAAACATTACCTTATCATCTGGGGAAGAGAAAATTGTTGGTACAGCAGTGTGTTTCAAGTATCGTATACCCCACCGCACGTCAAGGGAATCGGGTGTAAAATGATCGCTGCACAGAAGTTGGTGCTTACTTGGAGTCCATGCATCTCGCTTCATATTCCGCAACCATTTTTCAAGTCTCTCTTTATCATGAAGTGGGAATCTTTTTAGAGCCAGTGAAAGAGCAAACAAAACCACAAACAAACAAAAAGTAATTTTTTCCCTTCTTCCTTTTAAATAAATAATATCTTCTTGTTAAATATCAGTCTTTCTTTACTAAAAGATTACAACAATACATTTAAAAAAAATTTAATATGAAATGCTAAACAGGATGTCACTTTGTTGTTAATCCAATACTGTTAAGAAAGCAATATTCCTTAGAATCATGAGCAGTAATAATTAAAACAAAAAATCTGGTTTTGTGGGTATGAAACTAAGAGACAAGATTCATGTGGTCATTAAACCTGACCTGATCATAACTGCAGATTGTAAGAAGCAGTAGCTGTTGGCAGTATGACGGACAACAAAAACATCCGGATGTGAACAAGTGCCTACAGCCTCTTTACAAGAGCCACTTTGGTTTATTCCCTAAATAGAAGTGGAGCATTCCTAAGCCCCTTTTTCTTTTCCCTTAGTTATTTTCTCCTTTTAATTAACAAGCACTTCTTATGGCTATGCTTATTACCATACATTTACGGAACTTCAATGCACAAAAAACCTGGTTCTGCAGTGAGATGTGTTGCACAACAGAAGCTGGGGAGAGAGCCTGGAGTGCCCAGTGTCAGCCGAATGCTATGAAAGGCACCGGTCAGGCTACTTCTTGGCAAACCCTAGATTCCACCCCCAACTCCCTGAAGCCACAGCTTTCCTCTAAAAGTCACACATGGCAATGACTCTCTTATGCAGGCTCACAGTGTTCCAAAACTGCAAACTTAGCTTGTTTTGAGGGGAAGATACCTGAGATTCACAGGATAAACGTGCATGTCTTCACCCCTTCCCATATCTTTTGAATTTGTTGCCATTTAAGTTGTGAAGTTATAGAATCACAGAATGGTTTGGGTTGGAAGGCACCTTAAAGACCATCTAGTTCCAACCGAGCTGCTCCTGCTTCAATACCCCTTCACTCAACAAAAGAAACTGTTCTCTGGTGTAAATAAGACACAAAAAAAGGCAAATGGGGAGAGGAACTGGACAGAATTTATTCAGGAGCTGCCACTGCTGCACAAGTCAGAGAGGTGAAGAAAGAAAACGAAGGCAGGCAGTTAGACCAGCTGCAATTAGGTCACAGTTACAAAGTTCAGAAGGGGCTCAGACCCAATACCACAGAGCAGCAAAGGCCTTTTCTGGGGTAGTAAGGGGCAAGGTAATAAAGCTTGCAATTCACATCAGTAGCAGATGCTAATGTAGGGCAAGAGATGGCTATCAATCAAATCTCAGCACCCCTTCTACAGGGCCATGATAGTCATAATGCAGCACAATGGCTAGATAAAACAGCTGTGGTTTTGCAATCATCTTTATATTGATGCTATACCTCTGAATATAAATATGTATCTGCACTCAAATTTGGTTTGATCATCCATGTGGCACTCACATTCTTTAAAGCAATATAAATACTTTATTTCTCCTCATTTTGATGACTGTTTTATGACAAATTACATATTAAGCGACATGCTAGGAAAAAGAGCTTTCCTTCAATCTAAACTACAATCCCTTTCAAAGCAGACTTCCTGTGGGTCTTCCTACCTAGCCTTCCTGATCTTGGAATAACAATGAGTACTCAGCAACTGAAACAAAGTAACTTAGCTTGGGGTATAAATCTTACCCAAACAGATTTTGAAGCTAGTAGAAGCTACCAGAAGCTATTTTGAAGCTACCAGAAGGCCAACCGTATCCTGGGCTGTATCCAGAGAAGTGTGGCCAGCAGGTCGAGGGAGGTGATTCTGCCCCTCTACTCTGCTCTGGTGCGACCCCACCTGGAGTGCTGCGTCCAGCTGTGGAGCCCTCAATATCAGAAGGATATTGACCACTTGGAGCGAGGGCAGAGGAGGGCCACGAAGATGATCAGAGGGCTGGAGCACCTCTCCTATGACGAAAGGCTGCGAGAACTGGGCTTGTTCAGCCTGGAGAAGAGGAGGCTCCGAGGAGACCTCATTGGAGCTTTCCAGTATCTGAAGGGGGCCGACAAGGGTACTGGGAGAGGACTTTTTACAAGCGCCTGTAGTGACAGGACAAGGGGTAATGGGTATAAATTGAAAGCGGGGAGGTTTAGATTAGATATCAGGAAAAAGTTCTTCACAGAGAGGGTGGTGAGGCACTGGAACAGGTTGCCCAGAGAAGCTGTGGATGCCCCATCCCTGGATGTCTTCAAGGCCAGGCTGGATGTGGCTTTGAGCAACCTGGTCTAGTGGAAGGTGTCCCTGCCCGTGGCAGGGGGGTTGGAACTAGATGATTTTTAAGGTCCCTTCCAACCCTAACCATTCTATGATTCTATGATTCTAGTTGTAAAATTTATTCTTCAATTTTTTCTTAAATGCTACAAAATTCCTTCCGATAACAAATGCTTCTCATACTTTTATTCAACCTACTTATATTCACATTTATTTCTTAGGGTTGAGAAACACTGGTTTGAACTCACCATCCTGTAACAGCCATGTAACCACAACAGTACAGAGGTTACTGCGGGCCTGGGGTGGTGACTAATCAACCAGGTGGCTGGATAGTACCATGCA